AGAGAGAGAGAGAGAGAGAGAGAGAGAGACAGAGAGAGAGAGAGACAGAACAATAACTTAAAGGTGATGACATTTTCTGCTATGTTTACGTCTACTCAGTCTATATGTGATGCAGGACCAAAGTCCTACAGCTAGAGGATAGTCAGTTGTATAAATCAAGTTTTTAAAACTTTTTTTGCCTGTGGTTTTCAGATTGTGAGAGAGGATTCATTGCTTCTCTGGTCAGTCTCGAAGAAGAAAGTGGTGTTGAAAAAGCAAGAGCAAAAGCACCGGCAGCAGCAGACTCTGGGAATAACAAAGCATTAGATAACTTGCAACGTGGACAGATGGAGGTTGTCTTGACTCTAAGGACCTGATATGAGTTGTGGCAGCTATCTGCTCCTTGTCGATAGAAGCTGATTTAGGACTTTGGAGGATATGGTGAAGGAGATGTCAGGTGCTTCATTTTGACTGATTGGGAAAAGTAAGTCAGTAAGCTTCTGACCAAGGGCCAAGAAGATTGCTACAATCACATTGGTCAATCACCACCATCATGGCACCATGGGCCAAGAAGACACCAGATTCTCTGACACAGGGCAAGTGAGGGGGGGAAGTGGTCTTCCGACTGCAGAGCCTGATGGAAGCAGCAGGAGGTCGATATTGAGGACTCCCAAGGAGGACATGGCAGGTGAAAATGGCTAGGAAGGTAGGATGGATAGAAAAGTTCTTCCATCTATGCATCAACGGGATCCAGAGTCCATTATAATGGAGAAAAATGATAATTACTCCATATCCAAAGCAGATGAGGGTAAGTTCGAAAAGGATTTGAAGGCCAATGCTCCACATAAAGGAGCGACTGTAAACAGTGCAGATGGTAAACAAAAAGACCACAATATGGAGCTAGTTGATTCTGGGGGTTCTCAGGGAAAGATCGACGCAAGTGTCAGTCCTCCACCCATGACAAAAGAAGAAGCTCGTAGTGACTCGCCGGTGGGCATGCGTCTATCGTTGTTGTCAATGGATAAGGCAGAGAGAAAGTTCTCGGGGCAACTGGAGTCGTACACATTGGCGTTCAAAGATCGAGAGCTGGAGGACGAATTCATGGCCGAATTCGTTGTGCGAAATCAGCGAAGTCTTCGACTTGGTCTTGTTATCCTTGGCATATTGGTGGGCGCATACATTTTCATTGATATTATATCGTTTGGTTACAAAAATGTTATTGTCAAAGTGATAACTATCAGACTCGCCATCTGCATGCTGTGCAGCTTTATGTACTGGGCCACCTACAGAGACAGTTTTCAAATAGCCAACTGGCAACCGTTCGCCTGTTTATGTTGTCTTTTCATAGGCTGCCCAATCATACTCCTGCCCTGTTTGTACTCACGGGTGGCAGGCATGCAAGCCGTATTCGCTGTCTCGACTGTCACAGTGGGCTGCCTTGGGTTGAAGTGTTACAATGCAGCCCTGATGGAGTTCTTCCTTTGCAGCATCTTTGTGGCAGTGAGCAATAACATGCCACAATATGGTTCGATCCTAGAGCCAGTGGATCGCAGAGCGGAGACAGACGTTGCAAGCCGATCCTTGGTTGAAGTTGGTTTCTTGCTAACCCATCTAGTTGGGGCTGCGTTTCTAATGGAAAAGTTTGTAAGGAAACAGTTCTACATTCGGTGGGAACTCAAGACCTCAGAGAAGGCAACCGCGGTGGCTGAAAATGCGCTCTTTGCAAAGGATCTGAAGTCCTCCTTTGTTTCCAACCTCAGCCACGAAGTAAAACACCCAATCATCAGCATCCTTGCATGTGGGGAGCTGATGAAGGGCACTCCCATGAGTACGGAACAGAAAGACTATGCTACCACAATCCACGAGTCTGCTGTGCAGCTCTTTCAAGTAATCGAGGATGTGCTGCACTTCTCCGAACTCGATGCAGGTACCTTCAAGCTCAACCCTCAGATTTTCAATCTGCTGGAAATTGTGGAGGAAGTTGTCGCAGAGCAGGCGCCATTGGGGTTGTCCAAAGGTTTAGCAGTCTCAATCATCTACAAATTGTCAAGCTGCATCTTCCTTGGTGATCCTGGTGTTGTTCTCACCGTCCTGAAGCACTTGTTTGAGAATACAGTGAAGGTCACACAGAATGGTGAGGTCGGTATTGTGGTGGATAAACATGACACCTGCATGGATGCTTGGATTGTTAGGTTTGCATGCTTTGACACTGGGCCCGGCATCCCTGAAGAGAACCTGAAGTTTCTATTCCAGGAGTTCACACAAGTGAGGGACAAGCTGAACCAAGTGAACAACGGACTGGGACTTGGGTTGGCTCTTGTGAAGGGGTTTGTGAACGTAATGAAGGGAAGAGTGGGGGCGGTTACGAATGACATCATTAAGCCTGGTATGCCAACAGGATCCGTGTTCTGGTTTGAGATCCCTCTCATGCCTATACATAATCCAGCAGACAGGGGAATAGGTGCATTTGTCCCAGGGATGGATGAAGGGGGGCCCACGGACGAGAAACAGGACAGTGAACACACCAGTGCCATAACCAAAGGGATCAAGATACTGAGAAAAGTTGCATCAGACGGATGCATAAGTGTTCCTCTAGGTGTTGCAGACGAAGAAGGAAACAGAAATGACAAATTCAAAATAAACGATGACACAGATGTTGTCGTTAACTCACCACTGTTCATCATTGGAATTGCCAAGGCTCGGCTGATTCGTACCATGCTAAGAGTTTATCTCTCAAAGTGGCCCAATGCCACTGTGGCTATTGCTGCCTCTCCACAACACCTGTTCAGCACTGAGTTCTCTGGACCTGTAGGAGTTATGAGTGACAAAAGAGATGCCCACAGGGTTTGCTTTATCAGTGATATCACAGAAAAGGAGGAGCTGGTTCAGTTGGATACTTCAAAGCACAAGTCGTATTCAATGATCAAACAACGCAAGTATAGAATCACCAAAGGTGCTTACTGGGTGTTGTTGCCACAAGATCGACAGATGACCGATGGGATCAGTATAGACAAACTGGTTGAGAAAGACATCTTTGCCATCCTTTACATGCCAATCAGAGCACAACACTTGGCGTCTTGTATGAAGGATATATCTGAAGCTTCAAGCAAGCATCTTAGAGTCGTGATCGATTCTTATCCTCCTGCTCCCACAGGTCCTATAAAGCCTGGTGAAGTAATCATAGATATCCCCGAGCCGCCCCGGGATTTTGAAACAGTGAAAGATTATTCAGCATTGGTCTTGGAGTACCATAGCTCCATGTTCATTGGGAAAGATTCAGAGAGACAAACAATTCTGTCATTCGAGGGTGCATCTAAAGGGTTCAAAACCGTAGTGTTTCGTGAGGCAGATGCTGTCGGGATGGAGTTGCGTACAAACTTGGCCCCATTACGTGAAGTCAGCCAGCAGACTGTACGGCAAAACTCGACGCGGAATCAGGTGGTGAACGAAGAGGCATTGAAGAAGATCCTGTCCATACGGCACGGAACTATCCATTTTGTGAACTTCCTGAAGTCATTGGATATAGATGATGAGGTCATCGAAATCAGTGATAAAAAGGTAGAGGGAGGGGAAGGCGAAAGGAGAAAAGGCTCCGTTCCACCACCCGGTATGCAGGGAACTCCCTCTGGTCCCAAACTAGGGCCTGCTCAACAGCAGCAGCACCAGCAGCAGCAAAACACAATACCTCTAGTACAGGCATCCTCCACAGGGAGTGTAAGTACACACACCCATCCACCCCCGTTACTCCATTCCCCGACCTTCAAATCATCTTCCACTGCGGAAGCAATTGTTGCTGGTGGTGCCACTGTTGAAGGTGGATCGATTTCACATCCGACATCGGGAACGTCACCACTCTCATTGACTGCAGGGCCACCGAAAGAATCAACTCAGGCAGAGAATACCCCGTTGATAAGTCAACCCCTCACTGTGAGTGAGGTGCAGGTATCTCATGCATCTCCATTTTCCACAGTACAACCAGATGATACGTTACAAAAGCCGACCAACGGAAACGAACAGCAACAGGATCGGCCCGAGCAACAGGATAAGCAACTGCAGCAGACTCAGAAGCCCCTAAAGCGTGGGAGAAGAAAGTTCTCGGGGATGGGAAGCGTTAATAGACAAGCATTTGCCATAAGCACTGTATCTCTCATCGAGAATCTTCAAGGATCACTATCCTGGCGCCTTGGCGATTCCCTAGAGCCTGTACGGGTAGTCATAGTCATGCTTGGCATCCAGCTGGTTCTCTGGCCTTTCCTCAAGAGAGCCTTTGAAGAGGTGGTTGTGCATAAGGTGAATATAATTCTTTGCAGCTCATGGCTTGGGGTTTGTCTTGCCCTGTGCATCTACACCTTCAGCTCCCACTTTCAAGGACAAATGGCAGCGCACCCAGTTCGATGTGAGTGGGGGTTTGCCATCTTGATGGTGATGACGTTGTGGGTTGTGATTGTCTGCTCTTACATCCATCCTGGCTTGGCCTCGATGAGCATAGAAACATGGCTATTTGTGTTTGCCTTGACTCTCTATGTGAACATATTTTGTCGGTTCAGTGTTGCGCTGGCTGCGTCTACGGCCATTGCACTCATGTACGAGGCCGTCATAATTAATCATCATGCTATTACCTACCTCGGAGACGTTGCACGCCCTCTGGTGCCATCTGGGATAGCTAGTCGGGAGGACATCCGCATCATTGTCATCACCTTTTTCACATTTACGACGATCGGCTCATTGCTCACTACATCTTACACTATAGATGCAACCACATCCAGTGAGCAAAGCTTGACACTTGTGGTCATGGCTGCTACCGAGGCCGCGAGAAGAGCAACTGAGGCTGAAGCTGCCAACCAAGCCACAACCCAGTTCATTTCCAATTTGAATATGGAGGTTCGTACACCTCTCGCAAGCATTATGGGCATGAGCGAGCTTCTTCTTTCCTCGGAACCTCCTCTCAACATCCTCCAGGAGGACTTGGTGTTCACAGTGCAGCAAGCCAGTGAGCAGTTAAACTCACTTGTAGATAACGTCTTGGATGTCAACAAGATAGATAACGGGTTCATAAAGTTACAAGAAGAAGTCATAAGCATTCGAGAGCAGATCGAGGAGCGAGTCCTCTCAATGTGCCATGTGGCGTATATGAAGAAACTGCGTGTCATCATGGACATGCGAATTCACCACGAGTTGTTTCTTGGTGACCCTCTTCGGTTGAGTCAGATCATGACGAATGTTCTTTCCAATGCCATCAATTTCACCAATCAGGGAGATATCCTTATCAAGGCAGAAGAGATCCAGAGCATGAACAACGACCCTACTACCCCCATGCCGCCGGATTCCGGCAGAGGAACCCGTCAGTTCAGCCTTATCCGTGTGTCCTGCAAAGACACTGGCATTGGCATGTCCAAAGAGAACCTGGAAAAGGTAGTTAGCACCCTGAATAAGGTTGATGCAGAGTCCATCTCGTTTGGCAAGCTCCGCCACAGAGGGACAGGAATAGGGTTGACGATCGTTAAGAGTCTGGTGTCGTTGATGGGGGGCACTTGCGGCATAACGAGCGAGCTTGATGAAGGGACGACCTTCTGGTTCACCATGCGTCTGCCATACATCAAGCCCACAGACCCAGAGGCTTCTAATCCAAAGAACAACTCAATCCTGAGCTTTAGATGGAAGGCGTCCATACCAATCAAGCTACTTTTGATATCACCGTCACAAACTGAGTGTGACATAATCAAATGCTATGCCATTCAGTGGGGGCACCAGTGCTCTGTGGAGAAGAATGCCAGGCTGGGACTGCAGAAACTGACGGGGAAAAAACAATCAACATTTTCTTCCAACTTGCTATTAGGACTTCAAACCTTGAAGAAAGATAATGCCCAAGGTCAATCTGGTAGCGCCTTGTCCAAAGCTGGGCGTACGACAGAACTTCTGGCATCGGAAAATCGTGATGCTCCCGAACACTTGCCATTGAAGCTTATAGTCTTGGATGCAGAGGTTCTCTCACCCTCAGGACAAACAGAGGATGAGAACATGCTTCTGCACACTGCTAATTCTCGAAACCTGAAAATCATTCTCCTTGTTCGTGCCGGCATCAGCATTCACCAATGGCAGCATTTCAATGCCTTGCCAGTCAAAAAGCCAGTTGCATTCGGTTCATTCTTTTACGCTCTTGAGAGCATCATTGGGCTATTGGAACAAACTCCTGACACCTCTGAAACAGTTGTGCCTCATGCGGCGGCATCTGCATTTCCTCGACCTGACCCCTCTAAAGCACGAAAGGACAAAGCGGGCGTCCTTTCTCCTAGCTCTGCGGATCCTGCGCTGCCTTCGTCATCTCCTAAAGGGCGAAGAAAAGTACGACTTTTGGTTGTTGAGGACCATGATATCAATCAGAGGATCATGAAGAACATGTTAGAGAGAGAAGGGGTTGATTTTCAGTTGGTGGCCAATGGGAAAGAGGCAGTAGATGCACTAGAACCACCCACTCATGGGTTCGACATCTTGTTGACTGACTGTCAGACTCCTGTGATGGATGGTTTTGAGGCGACAAAAGTCATCAGAGCCAGAGAAGAAGGCGAAGGAAGACCGAGGATGCCGATCATTGCACTGACAGCACTTGCTCTCACTTCTGACAGGGAGCGATGCTTTGCAGCGGGAATGGATGACTACTTGATCAAGCCTCTCAAGAAGGAAGCACTTCAGAATATACTGGTGAGACATGATCCCCGATTAAGAAACCTTGTAGCCTCAAGCAGAAATGATTCTGGGTCCAACACCCCCAGAGGGACCGTCCGACCAGGTGGCAAAAGTGGGAGCGCATCTTCCTTCTCTACTCGGACAGCCGCTGCTGTTCCTGCGGGGGGTAGTACCCATAGTCCTACTGCAACAAAACTTAGGCAAATTAAGGTGCTTATTGTGGAAGATCACCTGGTGAATCAAAAGATCCTCAAGAACATGTGTGAAAAGGAAGGAGTCCTTTTCGGCATCGTTAACAATGGGAAGGAGGCGTTTGAGGCCGTAGAGCCTGTCGATCATGGTTACGATTTGATTCTCACAGATTGTCAAACACCTATCATGGACGGGTTTGAGGCAACAATGGTCATCAGAGAACGAGAGAAAGCGCAGGGAAGATGCCGTCTACCCATCATAGCGGTTACAGGGCTTGCAATGCGGTCTGACCACGAACGCTGCTTGGCAGCTGGAATGGACGATGTCTTGACCAAACCCGTGAAGAAAGAAGCCCTGCAAAGCGTTCTAAATAAATGGGGACCAAAATTTAGTGACCTTCTCGCAGAACCACCACCAGGATTGACTCAAGCTGCACCTGCAAGCCAACCAAGGCTGCACCTATCGGACGTGCCTACGATGCCTGCACAAACCAGCGAAGTCTTTGATTGCGGTCTGTGAACTTTAGCTAGTGAGCCATACATTTCGCATCGTTTTTGTAAAGCGGGGGTAGCTCTTCAGATTATTATGCCTATCTGATTCCATCGTTGTTACGACTCATGATCTATTTACTAACAGTTACATGTGTGTACCATTCAGCCACAAGGGCTGCTTGGGTAAAAGTTCATAGTGATATGATAAGGGGCAGTCCCGAGTAAGTTATGGCTATGCCTCGGTTTTGAGATTCAATGCACGTTATCTATTGTCGGATTCCACAATCAGATCCGCAACATCCGGTTTCTGAACAAAGACCTAGAAATTGTAGGGTGGGTCTGCCCCTAAGCGCACAGGTTGCATGGTTATTGTTGTGTGTGTGTTTTGTTTTTTTTTGTTTTCTTGATGAAATCGTGCAGGGTGGGGACGACCAGGGCGTCCCTACCACATGGCCATTCAAGGTGTCCATGAGCCGGTTCTTCAAGCACTCCAGTGCTGGCAGGAGACTTTTTTTTGTACCCTATCCCAGACTGTACTGCACTTCCTGACCTAACCCGATGGACCTCGCCCTTAATACGGTCGTCGTCGTATGCCTCATCCCTTTCGCACATCCACATTATCCCCATATATTGTTTTGTCCTTTCATCCAAAGAGGAGAGATTAAACTCTTCTTTATTTAGTACTTACTTAATTAATGTGGTACTCTATTTGTTCCTACTGGCCTAGGAAAAAGGACAAGATCCAAGTGCAAAAGACCCCTTATCTAGTTCTAGATTTCAACTTGGAGGTATTCATTTTATCTCGCACCATCCAAGCAGGGATGCACGCACCGGACCGCGAGGGCAGCCAAATGCATTCATAGCAAGGCTCAAGTAGTGAGCAAGCGAGCGAGAGAGAGAGAGAGAGAGAGAGAGAGAGAGAGAGAGAGAGAGAGAGAGAGAGACTGTTTGTCAATCCGTGAGCGAAGGGAAGGGAGGAAGGCAGCTGACTTTTATCACGCCCGCCTGAATCCTTTCCTAGTTTTAGAGTTGCTCAATGATCATCCATTGCCGCAATGCTCACAACCCTAACGCTGCCACTCAGATCATGACTGCGAAAAGCAAAACAAGATTGTTGAGCCTCGTTCTCCAGCAGACTTTGGACACCAGAACAGTCCTGGGGTTGGGAGCTCTGAGAAGCCCCAGTGTGTACAGCACAAGCCGTGGTAGGCGTATTGAGCAGTGGTATGTCTTCCTTCATAATAAAATCCACGGTCTCACCTATATGAGTTTTTCATGACATTCTGAACAGTTGATTAGGAGCCAGCGTCTCTTAGGGGAAAAGATAACCATACATTGGCAATGACCCGCACATAATTAGTCTGAGATTTCTTCTGTTTTCTGAGTATTGCCGCTTGATGAACTGATTTTTTTGCTGAGATTTTCGTGAACTTTGAGTTTGCTGTGTGCATGCATGTCTGTAAGTCCCCGTGTGACGATTGCTATGCCGTGTACTAACCTTGTGCTGCTTGTTCTGTGTTTTCTGTATTTCGCGGAGGGGTAGAGTAAGAATATAAGGAAACCACAGGGGCAAGACTGAAAGTGAGACCGGGCGAACTACTGGTAGAGGCTTGGACACACAAGGACCAAGTATAGGGCAGGTAGAACCGGGCAAGGATTTCCAATAGCTCGAGCAGGCCCAACAAAGGTCCAAAAGGCCCGGTAGCTCAGGTCCAGTAGGCCTGGTAGCTTACCGAAAATGTCACGAGCGGTCAGATTCGAATCTAGACATCAAATAGGCTAGATTCAGGCCCTGAGGTAGACTTACAGGCTGCAATAATATTCCCAGTGAACGGCAGGAACTTCAGGTAGGCTTAGCACCTTGAAGAGGCAGCGGCAGACTTGGTACCTCAGCCCCACTCGGGCAGAATGAGTGAAACGGTATCTTACCCGGCAGTCGCGCTGCTAATCTGCCCAGTGGGCGAAGTTGGGCGGAGTGCTGGAAGGGCGAAGGAACTTGAGGGACAAGTATAAGACCTCCTTGGTTGTGGAGGAGGAGAAGCAGTAGGGAGTAGACCTGGCTATGGATGGTAGAGGGAGACGCGCATCATGCCAGAGGAAGGAGAAGGGCAACAGAAGGGAGTAGAAGGTGAGGAAGAGAGAGAAGCAGAGGGATCGATATAGGGAGACTCACCTTCAAGTTGGCTATGGTTGACCGTCACTTCCTTGGTCGGCGCTCCATCAAGAAGGTCCCAGTGTGGGTCCTGGTTGGTCATGGACATCTTCTGAGTGTGTGGCTGTGGCGGAGAGGAATGGAACTAGCATATGACCTTTTTTGCATTGTCCTTTGAACATCTGTGACGAGTCTGTATGTTCCGCCATAGCCATAGATGCTATGAAGGAGAGAGAAGTGAGGTTAGGCCTGAAAGGTGGTTGGTTTCTTGAGTTAACTGGCAATAATGGAGAACACTCGACATGATTCTTGTCCAATCAGTCATTTGTTTGTTGTATCTAATTGATCAATAAGAGTAGGAGAAGTAAAGAAGAAGAAGAGGGATGAGGAAGAAAGGAGGGGGAACATATTGGTGCAACCTGTGTAATTCTTTTACTTTGATGACTCTTTCCTTTTTCTAATCTTATCTTTATTTCTCTCCATCTCTTTTTTCAGCTCTTAGCAAATCTTGCATTTCTTGCAATTTGACTTCTGCACTACGGATATAGTAGAATCATAACTATTGGCCATAAGGACCTGTTTTATTTTTAAAAAAAAAAAAAAAAAAAAAAAAAAGAATCATAACTATTGGTATCGAAGCTAGACGTTACTTGCTGGATAGGCATTTGCGCCACCCTAACCCTATTTCCGAGATGGTTAGAGCAACTAAAAAAGAAAAACAGAACCTTATGGTTCTGGCTTCTTATCTATTCTGGAGAGCATCAGTACGGTTCCTATTCCACCAACAACAAGTCAAGAGAAAAAAAAAAATGTGGTACACTCACTCCAACACTTCTCCCGTCTACGGTTGAGAGACCGGAGTGAGCGGCATTGACGTCCCTTAGGAAGGATGTACCTCCCCTCACCCCTGCGGCCCTGCCAGAGCTCACCTACTTGACTATATACCCCTTCGACTTTCTTGTCCATGATACCCCCCTTTGTCTGGCCTTAAATGGGTGACTTGACGTCATGGGGGGCTGTGTTTGATCTGAACTCCTCTCAACTACAGGTCGTCTGATTAGCTTGGATACCTGGACCTAAGACCTTTCCATCATCCTTTGAGAGGTTGTCTGTTAACATCGACAATAATACTCTTCTTTGTCTCTAATTTGGCCAGTGCTTGTAGTCTTAAGGCCTCCTTTTTGTCCTATCGTCTTGAAGACTCTTATTTACTCCAATGAGGTAGTACTAAGCTTGTAGTGTTAGTATTCGGGTGGATATTGATCGCAGGAGCTAGGACGGTTGGTTATTCATCCGCGAGGAGTATCATCCTTAGAGGGACTGTTAGGGGTTGCAGTGTACTGGGAGAGGTCAGTTGAATGTTAGCTTTGCGAGTGTAGTGGCATAGGTGGTTTTTTCTCAGTGGAAAGGTGGTCTCTTGTGACGTTGATTTGTTGTCTTCTGTCCTCGGTGGGGTGCGTGGTCTTTGGGCCTGGTTGGGCAGAATGGTTCTGGGGTTCTGTTCTAGTTACTGTTCTGATCTTGATCCAGTTCTCTCTTCTGTTTCATATGAATTAGTGTGCTGGGATTCTATTCTAGTGTTCTGGGGTTCTATTCTAGTGTTCTAATGTTCTGGGGTTCTATTCTAGTGTTCTGGGGTTCTATTCTAGTGGTCTAGTGTTCTGGGCTTCTACTCTAGTGTTTTAGTGTTCTGGGGTTCTATTCTAGTATTCTAGTGTTCTGGGGTTCTATTTTAGCTACTCGGAGGCTCCCTTATGTTTCATATCAGATGAATTCTTTTGTTTTGTCGCCCGGTTCGACCATTTGGTGTACTCTGTGGTATCAGAGCGAGGTTCGTTGAACCCTGGTTGGAGTGGGCCAGTAGGGTTAAACGTTTTTTTAGGACCAGTCTTTCTCCTTCCATTGAGCCTGCTGGGTTCCCACAACCTAACTTCGAAGAGGTGAATCTTCGTGGATAATCTCAGCCTTTTGCCCGGTGAGTCTTGGATCTGGTTTGGGGGTTTTGTTCTGGAGTGCGTGGATTTCTCGTAGTTGTTATGTGATGATAAGCAGATTTTATGGGTAAGTGTAGTGATCTTCAAAGGTGGTCGCAACCCTTTTTTGAAATAGCTCACAGGGTCTCTTTTCGAATTAGTGAAAAAAAAAAAAAAAAAAAAAATCCTTTGAGAGGAGGGGGTTGCTCATGTGCAGGAACAGGGTGTCGGGGGGCATTGCTTTCTATTGTTTTGTTGGTATGTTTGCTCCAAGTTGAGTTATATCCTTAACATCTCTTTTTTTTTTTTTTTTAATCCTTAAGAGATCTTATGCCAAAGTTTCTTTTTCGCTTTTTCATATTATGAGTTGTTAACTTTACACAATGTTACTTGCTCGGATTTGTTCTCCTTTCGTCGTTTTTGCGCTAGCCAAGAATTTATTGGTGCTGCTGTATAAGTTATGAGCCACAATAGGCTGCCCAGTTTGACAGGCCTAGTGCAGAATGTTAAGGATTGGGGGGGGTCTAATATCTACATTTGAGAGTGAGTTTTCTGCCTTTTTCCATTTTTTCTATAATATGATGGATACAGACATGTGCTGATTGGAGAACAACCTGTCTCTTCGTTTGGGGGTAAATTCAGTTAGCTTTTGTTGCCGTGCTACTGTAGTGGTACAGATGGGAGTACTTCATGACCATTTTATTGGGTCTATTTCTCTAAGTGTTGTATATCTGTTTCAGGCTTGTAGACTCTGTTCCTATCCCCTTCTATGACCCTTATTTTACTGAGATTACTTTCCTTTAAAGGACCCTTCGACACTCTTTCCACACTGAGGAAGCTCACTGGATTCCCTGATTCTTCGAAGGGCAATATGTCACAGTATATCCAGTCGTTATTATAGTACCTCTTTTGGTACTTTATAATTTTTAAGACTTCTTGCATGCCTTTTTGGCCTTTCAATGTTGTGCAGTCTCCTCAGAGCCAGTTTTGCTCAGATCTCAATAGTTATTGCCATTGTATCCATACGGCAAGGCTGGTTCGAGCATGCTGCAGCTAGGGCTGAGGAGGTTATACCCCTACTCAATCCTAGTGCCTACAACCGCTGTCTGGTCAGGTTAATGGTCCTGAGTGCTGGTCACACTGAGGTAGGATAGTAGGAATAGGGGTTGTGCAAAAGGTATTGACGCAAGGATGGGATGCGAGGT